ATGTTTTGAATGATTGCAAAAAAAATTTAAAAAATCTTTTTTAAGGAGTGTAAAATTTGAAGTCAAAGCCAAAAATTAAAAATGAGGAAAAGTCAAACTGAGAATAAAGTTTTAGGACGGAGGGAGTATTATTTTCTTATTAATTTGTCTGTTTATTTTAATTACAATAATGATGATGATATTGACAATACTGATCGGATGATGATGATAATAATGATGATGATAATGATGATGATGATGATGATAATAATAATAATAATAATAGTAATGAGGATATTTCTAAATTCACTCTTATTGTACGGAGTAGTTAATAAATAACTAGTATTTTTACCCGTGCAACGCACGGGATCGAACAAAATTTTTATTGGTTCTAAAACTTTTTTAATGCAATATTTTTTCCCAGAATAAAGAAAAAATATATTTCCCTATGATTTTTAATACAATATACAAACAAAAATTCTAAAGAAGAATAAACAATATTTAACAGTAGAAAAAATTAAATAAATAAATATCAAATGTAAAAACAAAGGAAGAAATTCTATGAACAAAATATAACTTGAAGCATGAGGATAATAACCAACTTGTAAACCAACCAAACAGGCTACTAACTGAAGGAGTAGAAGTTATGGCTCATTTTTATTCATTCCAAAGGCTGGGTCTTGATAATGCACTTCATTATTTTAACTATGCAGAATTTTTTGTCTTGTGAATTTGTAACTTATGCTATAAGTTATATATACTCCGTAATAATTTATAATTATCTCCCTATTTACAACAGCGGCAGGAATTAAATCCTACCTAAACTTAGTGGGCCAATTTCTGACTTTGGGCCTAGGAAAGATTGAATCAGTTACATTCTATTTAAGGCCCATTAATCATTTTTTGACATAATTAGATAGAAAAATGTACAAATTTTACTTCGGATATCACTTTGAGCACGAAAAATTAATAACACAATTAACAAATTTAACTTTGAATGTAGAAAACTTTAGTATATAATCATTAATAATAAAAATAATAGATATCCAAGTTAATTTATTTAAGACCATGACAAACAGTAAAAGCACTCTGATTTATTATAAAAAAGCATGTAGAGAGAAATATATTAAGATTTCATAATAATAAATACAGTTCAGCAATTATAATTAATAAATTTAATAACACCTTTTTTTAAAAAACAAAATATTAATTATATAATCTTACTATATATAATGCTTGGATCCTATTTGGAACAGTGTTCCCGCCAATACGTAGGTTGCTTCATTGGGCCAAAAATCGGGCTGGGCTATAGCGGGCTGGGCAACTGGGCTATGTCAAATCAGATTGGGCCTATCTAAAAAGTAAAATCAGCTGTGTCAAATCACATGAGTTGTCATGTCACTCTTTTTTAAATTGATGCGCCTATCTATAAAGTAAATAAAAAGGTTGTGTGGCTCCATAAACCAAATCTATTACAATCCAATCCATTATTACACTTACACACGGTGTAACCCTTTATATATAATATTTGAGAGTTGAACTCTCAGAATTGCGACATTTGGCATGATGACTAGACTATTTTTGACACCTAATCAGCCATGTCATCAAGAAAATTGAATCGAACTTTCATTCGACTAATTTATGATATAATAAAAGAAATTATGTAACATAATAAAATTAGTGAAACATAAATATAGTATTGCACAAAATAAAAATTTTTAATGGAAAATAGAAAAGTTTCTTTTTTAACTAACCAAATTTTCAGTAAATTTACCATAATATTTTGGTCGGACTCCAATTAAGCTTAAAAATTAGTCAATTGAATAAAAAGGACATTAAATCATTTTTTTAAAAAAATAAAAATAAATTAAAACAAACTAAAACAAATTAAAAATGAGAACTTTTAACATTTAGTAATAAAATTTTGATCTAATATTTTCTTTAAAAAATTATACTGACTACTGAACTTAATTAAAACGAATAAAATTTTCTTTTCATTTACAATGTAACTTATAATGGTAGATAAGATACACACTTCACCTATATATTAATTTCACATGCATACATTTAATATAATATTTAAAAACTAGATAACAATATTCATTGTCGAGTTTGACAATATTTTTTAGAAAGAAGAAAAAGTTGAACACAAATAGATGATTAGTTAATTTAAAATATATTTTTTCAGTATAAATATTAACTTAGTGCCGATTTAAAAAAGTAATTTTTTTGGAAAAAAGTACAATTTTAATAATGATTAGTTTATATTTAATATTATATTATTCTCATACAATTAGAATATGTTTAAATTAACCAAATATATACATATCTTACTTAGAAGTTTTATTTATGGCAAGATGACTAATATAATTGTGATATGAAATAAAAGTATTTCCATACAATTTGAATATTTTAAAATATTGAATTTTTAAAATAAACAAATTAGAAAAAAGATTTAATACTCCATCCGTTTGGAAAAAGTGTTCCTATTTTGACTTTATGTAAAAATAAGGAAGTATTAAATTATAGTTGACTTCCAATTTTGCCCTTGATGTGATATGTTAAAATAAGATGTGATGGATAGATCATTAGAGATAAAGTATGATGTGATAGGTATGGTATGAAAAAGTAAGGGTAAAAGTGGGTTTTTAATAGAAATAGAAGTGTTTTATTGAAAGTGAAAAAAATGAAAGAGAAAGTGTTTTAAAAAACGGAGGGAGTATGACTTTTGTACTTTATCTTGGTAACTTGGTTTACTATTTTTAATTAAAATAATCTTATATTGTAACTTACAATTTACTCGGTACATACTTATATTGTGTTACAATTCAAAACGTTTAATAGAATTAAGAGATTTTGAATGAGAGAGAACTTACTTTTAACGTTTTCATTTATGCAATCGTACATGGAAACTTTATAAGATAATATTTTATGAGACGGCAAATATTTATGCAAAGAGGATTGTGACAAAGAAGATCAAGGTGTGGATGGGAGCGTGAAAAGATTTGTGACAATGAAAGATTTAAGATAATCGATCAAAATTTTAGGAAAAATTGTGCAGAAAATCCGAAGTGCAGTAGCTAATAAGTTCGAGACTCAGTTACAAGTTACAATCAAATCAAAGAAAATACAATTTCCAATCTGTAATTATTTGTATTTTGATAGAACATTTTATATCTCTACCAGAATACTATCCCGACAAAATTATTAGAGACTAAAATTTTAATGTTTTTTAAAATAAATGTGGGGGAGAAGAATAATTGATTCTTAATATTTTAAAATTAAAATTTTAATTATAGAGATTTACGATCATTAATTTAAGATTTTGTTTTTTAATAATGAAAGAATGAATAATAACTTTTTATAATCATTGGGGGGCGGGGGGTAGATAGCGAATACGGATGAGAAGAATCTTATTTTTTAATTACTACCTTCGTCGCTGAGTATTTGTCATGTTTTGACTTTTTTGACTAATTGTTTTCAGTATTTGACTTAAAATTAAATAAAATATATATCATATATTAAGTACATAAAATAATATCTTGAAAATGGATGATATAATAAATCTAATAAAACTAATTTTGTATCAATATATAATATTGTTTTTATTTAATTAGAAGTCAAAATTTACCAATTTTGATAAAAAAAGTCAAAAGTTGACAAATACTAAGGGACAAAGGAAGTATATAATTATAAGGTCGGTAATTTTGATTTTTTAAGTTAATGTGAGGAAAAACAATCATTGGGTCACTAATACTTTTGTATTAATATATTTTTGAATTTATGCTAAGATAAAAATTATAAATTTGTAAAAATACATCAAATCTAGATCATTTATATTTGACCTTTAAATAATACTACGTTATGTCAACTAAAAATAAAGATCCACATTATAGAATTGAAAAAAATTTCGTCTGAACCCGTGCATTGCACGGGTAGGAATACTAGTAATCTATTACAATCCACTTGCACCATTACACATACACTCCGTATATATATATAGATCAACAAGCTTTGCATAATGTACACATGAGTGCCAGCAAGTAAAATAAATCTATTACAATCCAGAATATTATGAGTGCGAACCATGTTTGCTCCAATTACGTCTCTAAACAACACTAAAAAAGCTTGGATTCTCATGTTAAGGGTTGTGCGCGTTTACTTTGTTCCGAAGTGGGCTAAAGGCGGGGATTCCATGGAGATCATATTTCACGATGAACATGTATCGTATTCCCCAACTTTTGTATTTCATTTTTGAATTATTATTATTAAATTTAATCTCAATATCTCACTTGCTTTTTATCTCAATATCTCAAAATTGAATCTAAACAACAACATAGAATGAGGCTCATCATCTAAGACGGTGAGGGATTGCACTATTACCATCCCTCTCTTCCAATACTATTCTCCCTCCCACTTCTCAATCTTCTTTCATTTTTTTTTGTTGTGTTTTAGGATCTCTCAGTCCCTCATTGGGGATAGTTCACTTATAGTTCTTGTCGTCCCAAAGAACCAAACCCTTCGGGGGGCCATACCTGCAAAAAAAACAAGTCGTCATCATCACCAATTCACCACCCTCAATATGATTCTCGTAATCTCGAAACTAGTTGGGTCTTTGACAATAGAATTATAATGCGAATCAATTGTATGATCAACTAAAAGTAAATTCCAGCTACAAAAAAATGATAACGTTTTAATGAGACAAAAATTTTGAATCCAGCTCCATAATAGATTTTCCATATGCACAAAAAATATAATGAGAGAGCAATGAGTTGATAAAGAAGGTGGACTAATACAAGTAAAATTGATTGTCACTTAGACATAAAAGCCAGGAAAACACACCAACACAACAAGGGTCAACGGTCGGTAGGCACAGAACCAGGTAAATCCCCCATCCTCTCCCAACCCACCCCAATCCCAGCCCTTGAGAGCTCTTTCTCCCACTGTCCGGCTAACTTCCAGCCATGCAACCACCCTCCAGCCCTACCTCTGACCTCTATATTCCCTACAATCCATGTCCAATCAACCCCTACCGGCCGACTACTGTACAAACCACTGCTGTATTACTCAGCTTTGCCTCCTTTCCCAATCTTGAATCTCAATCCCCATCCGTCCGGAGCAATACCTTAGCATCAAGCCCTTTAGACCCTAAGTCCAACTCTTAGCCCAGTCAAGACCAACCTTAGTCCAGCCCCTCACTTTTACCCCAAAGTCCAACCCATAGCCCGTCCCATCACTTCTAAAATTTTTATTGTTATTTTTCTTTATCTTGTTATTATTCGCCTATTAGTATTATTGTTGTTGCCATTCTTATTTTTTATCCCTCGGCCCAACATCAATCACTGTATAGTTTGTTTAAAGTCTTGCTTGCCTTAGTTTTTACTATACTATAGCCTATGTTGTTGTTTTGGACTTTTGGTAGTGCTAGTGGTTTTTGCGTTCTTCCCTTAGATTTGGGTTAGGAATAGGTCGTTTTCTTGTGTTCTCCCTTCTTATGATGGGCTCCAAACTTAGCCCAGTCATGCCCAACCCTTGTCAAGCCCCTCACTTCTAACCCCAAAGTCTGACCCAAAGCCCATCCCATCACTTCTACATTTTTTATTGTTATTTTTCTTTTTCTTGTTTTTATTGGCTTATTGTTGTCTTAGTTTTTATCCCTCGGCCCAGCATCTATTACTGTATATTTTTTGTTTAAAGTCTTGCTTGCCTTAGTTAATATTATACTACTCCATATAGCCTATGTTGGTGTTTTGTCTGTTGTTTTGGTAGTGCTAGTGCATTTTGCGTTCTTCCCTTCAGATTTGGGTTAGTAGTACGTCGTTTTCTTGTGTTCTCCCTTCTTGTGGTGGAACTCGCTGTGCCAACATTGTAAAACAGAACCATGACAGCCTACATTTCTTAACTAGAACTAGAAGAGAATAATATTGCTTTGCCAGAGGCATCTCTTTAGGTTTACCCTTTACTGCACCAATATGTACATGAATATCGAGATCAAAGAACTGGAGTTCAAATTATGAACCATTAAATGTTATTTCAAGTTTCAAGTACAGATAGTAAGATCAGACATAATGTTTATCCACCATTGACATTCTACGACTTCCAACTAGCATAATACTTTAGTGTTATTGTGTTTAGGCATTGATAGGAACAAGAACACTACATCTCTTACATAAACTAGAACCACCAATACCTTATAATCTGATGATACAGGTTGGTGCCCTAATGCCGAATGTTCATCACACAATTTGAACCAAAAGAAACCACTAGTAATTGGGCTTATCTTAGCCAGACTCAATTACTCAAATGCAAACCTCACATTGCATTTTCACTGACTTTGTTTCGTTCCATTTGACAGTTAAGAGAAACAATAATGTGTTCATGTTTTAAAATATTACCGAAGAGAAACTACCATATAGAGATACTAAATATAAAGATATGTTAAAATAGCATGCCACAACCAAACAGGGAGGAAAAGAAAAAGCAAGAGTACAACTTACTCTATAGAAGACTTTTCCCATAATGAGACCATATGGGAATGGCCCAAGTTGCCTTGAATCCTTAGATGCATATATATTATCTCCTTGAAGCCAAACATGTCCTTTTGGCACCTGAAATTCCCCCGACAAAAACGAGAAAACAAAGACAACAAAGAAGAATTCATTAAAATATAGAACACAAAATTTAATTTAAAGCAATCTAGAGTACCAAGAGTTCAAAAAAAATGATTGGAATTCACAAAATGAGAAAACAAAACAAAAACAGGAAATTCATTGCCAAAAAAAATTCAAAGAAGAGAGTAAACCTTTACAGTGACAGAGCGATCACTAAGTCCGGGTTCAGGAAGATTGGAAGCAAGATTGGAAGCTTGGTGGGTAAACCAATCAAACGAGACCGCCCTACTGCCAATAAGACTAAATATGCTTATGCAAGGATACAGGTGGAAGTTAAAGTCCAACAGGAGTTCCCTATGATGGTTAGCTTTATAGATGATGAAGAGAGAGTGAGGAACCAGCAGATCACATATGAATGGTACCCTTGTATGTGCTCTCAGTGTGGGAAATTGGGACATGTGCAGGAATCTTGCAGGAAAAAGGGAAATAAACCTCATGAAGTAAGAAGGAAGTTGGTATGGAAACCCATACAGGGGGAAGTAGAAAAGGATCCAGCATCTGAAATAGCAAAGGAACCAGAGACTGAAATGGAAAACAAAAAGGGAGAACCAGAGATTGCTCTTGAAGAAGAATTTAAGGTGGTTACTGGAAAGAAAGCAGGGAAACCTAAGATGGTGGAAAATTGTGAAGGGTCTGGAATAGAAGCCTTAATGAGGGTTATGGAAAATGCCCCATATACTGGGCATTATCCTTTCCTAACATGATTGGGAGCTGGAACATAAGGGGATTAAATAGCCCCTTGAAACAGGAGGAAATAAAGAGAGTAATAAATAAATATGGTATTGGATGGATGGGCATACTAGAAACTAAAATAAAGGAGAAGAACTTTGTTGGGATTGAGGATAAAATGTTCAAGGGATGGGGATCTTTTATAAATAGTGAATCCCACCCTCTTGGCAGAATATGGGTGGTCTGGAATAAAAACAAATATGAAGTACAAATTATTGATTGGAGTGATCAGCTGGTTCACTGCAAAGGAAGAGTTATTGGGGGACCCAGGAATTTTATCTAACTTTTGTGTATGGGCACAATAATCCACAAGAAAGGAAAGGACTCTGGGAACACTTGATAAGATTAGGTGCTACTATTCAAAATGGATGGGGGATTATTGGAGACTTTAATTCTGTTCTGTGCTTGAAGGACAGAATTGGGGGGAACAATATTACTGAAGAAGAAACAAAGGAATTCAAGGATTGTATGGTAGCTTGTGGAATGGAAGAAATTCCCAGTGAAGGCAGCTACTATACTTGGAACAACAAACAAGGGGTAGGGAGAGCAATGTCAAATCTGGAATGGATAATGCAATTTGATGAGAAAATTAAGGTCATAGATGAGGGCATATCTGATCACTGTTTGCTGCTGTTTAGAACACATCGACAAGACAAGAGGAATGTGAGCTTTAAATATTGTGATATGTGGGAGCTTGATAAGGAGTTCAAAAATGTGCTGCAATCAATATGGAACAAAGAGGTTCCAGGGAGGTATATGTACCAGGTGCTAAGGAAACAGGAGTTAAAGTTGCCTCTTAAAAAGATTAATAAAAATTTCTGCCATATACACCAGCAATGTGACCTACTCAGAGAGGAATTATGTGATATACAAAACAGGCTGAAGGGGGACATTAATAATGAGAATCTTCTTGATAGGGAGAAAAAATGCTTGCAAGACCTGATTATTAAGAGCAAAGCCTCAAGAATGATGAAGATACAATAAGCAAAACAGGATTGGATTTGTGAGGGTGACCAAGGGTCAAAACTGTTCTTTGCCTGGATTAAGAAGAGAACCATGCTCAATCAGATATCTACTATCTTCAATGAAAGGGGAGATAAAGTGGAGGGAAGAACGAAGGTTGCTAATGTTATGATAGAGTATTTTCAGAAAATGCAAAGTCATGGAACCTGGACAGAACCTATCCAGGCTGATATCATTAGCACACAGGCCCTTGCTTGACAATTGGAGAGCAACTTCATCTGGTGGAACCTGTCACTCCTGATCAGATTAAGACTGCATTCTTCTCAATACCCAATGCCAAAAGCCCAGGCCCGGATGGATACAATAGTGGATTTTATAAAAGGAACTGTAATATTGTGGGAGAACTCGTAACTAAAGCAGTAAGAGAATTCTTCATAAAAGGGGAATTTTCTAAACAACTAAATGCTACCAACCTGGTCTTGATCCCCAAGGTAGACAACCCGAGAACACCCGCAGACTTCAGACCAATCTCTTGCTGTAATGTCATCTACAAAGTTATCTCAAAGATCCTCTGCAATAAACTGAAGAAGGTACTCCCAAGTGTTGTGAGCCTTAACCAAGGTGCATTTGTGGAGGGGAGATTACTGGTGCACAATGTCCTATTATGCCAAGAACTTGCTAAGGGGTATAATAGGAAATGCATCTCACCTAGATGCTTAATGAAAATTGATCTCAAGAAGGCTTATGACTCAATCAGCTGGAAAGCAATAAGGGATATTATGGAAGCTCTGAAGTTCCCGAGACAGTACACTGATTGGGTATATTACTGCATCTCGCACGCCTCTTACTCCCTATTACTCAATGGGGAAAATGTGGGATATTTCAAAGGAGGAAAGGGGATTAGGCAGGGGGATCCTATATCCCCCCTGCTATTCACCCTGATTATGGAGTACCTGACCAGAGCCCTCACGTATTATGCTGAAAATAATAGTTTTAAGTATCATCCAATGTGCAAAAGCCTCAAAATCATCAACTTGGCGTTTGCGGATGATTTAATAGTGGTGTGCAAAGCTGAGGTGGAATCAATTAAAACCATAATATCCTGTCTAACTCACTTCAAGGATGCCACTGGACTTGAAGTAAATTACACCAAATCTCAGATGGTGATAGGAGGCGTGTCTGAACATGTTGCTGATGAGATCTTAAAAGTAGCTAAAATGGAGAGAGGCTCACTCCCGTTCAGATACCTAGGGGGACCCATCACTGCAAGCAAAATTTCTGAAAGGGAATGTGAAGGGCTGATTAATAAGTTAACTACAAAGATCACAAGCTGGGCAACCAAACACCTCTCCTATGCAGGGAGGTGTAAATGATCAATTCTGTTCTTATGGGGATTATTACCTTTTGGTGTAAGCTGTTTGTACTACCCAACAAGGTCATGCATAAAATTCAGGCTATATGCAGGATCTTCTTATGGGGGTCAAGTGCAGAATACAGGAAGTCTCCATATGTGAGCTGGGAAGAAACATGCATGCCAAAAAAAGTAGGGGGATTGGGGTTCAAAAATATTGCCTACTGGAACCAAGCCTGTAACCAAGGTCTACTTTGGGATATCTCAAATAAGAAGGACATTTTGTGGGTGAAGTGGATCCATAACAGGTATCTTAAACATGGCACTATCTGGGAAATCCAACCAAAGGTAGGTATGTGCTATTATCTGAGGAAAATTCTGCATAACAGATGCTTATTTGATGGTATGAGTAGTAATGAGGCATACACTACCCAGAAGGGGTATGAGTGGCTGTTGGGCCCTAGTAGCAACTTCATGGCATATAAACTGGTCTGGAATAAACTGGCAATACTTAAACATCAATTCTTCCAATGGCTTGGATGGAAAAATAGAATCCCGACTAAAGAGAGAATGAGCAGATTTGTGGAGATGAATACAACATGTGTGCTCTGTGATACTGGGATTGAGAGTAAACAACATCTGTTTTATGAATGTGCCTACACTAAATGCATTCAGGATAATATTGGCAGCTGGCTAAGGTACCAATGGAGAGCAACTAATGATGTTGAGATGCTGGAAGAGGCTAAACAGATCAAGGGCAGGCAAAGGAGACAAACGGTGATGGCTGGGTTTGCAGCAGTTTGTTATGCAGTTTGGAGAGCCCGTAACCTTAAAATTAAAGAAAACAGAGATGTTCCCCGGGAGAATGTAGTGAGTGGATTAGGGAACATGCACGCATTTATATAAATGCTAGGTTAAAGAAACTTTGGTTGAAGTAGTTTGTCTAAAATTGTGTGATAACTTGTATCCTTCTCGTTGAAGTGGTGAATAAAGTGATGTGCTTTTGTTCAAAAAAAAGTCCGGGTTCGGGTAGAAAAGTGACGAAATCGCCCTCCATTCCCATGATACGCTTGGTGATAAGCTTTCTAGGGTTATCAACGGATCGAACCAGGACGACGTCACCGGGACCCACCTTCCCCAGCAGCGGTGACACGCGTTCCACCAGCAGCACGTCGCCGGTCAAATTCAAGGTCGGAAGCATGCTCGGACCGTAAACCTAAGAGGGGGCACTTTTCAAATCTCAAACAACTGAAGAGAACAAAACCTTGAAAAAGGAGGTGAGTTGTCGGGAGCGTACCATAAGAGGAGAGCAGAGGTAACGGTCGGCGACGTGCAATATGCAGAGGAACTTGGCGAAGACGATGGAATGCTGGATTCCCTCTTTCGCTTTAGATGCCCATCGGTTAACGTTGATGTGGGAGAGAAATCTTGATATTATAGTCTTGAATTTTTTGTAATAGTGTCCACGTGTCGTTTTATAAAGCCAAATAGGATTAAAACATAATTACTTTTCTAATGTAGGATTTAAACTTTTTTATTCTCTAAATAGGATTTAATAATGACCTAGTGGAAAGAATAATGTCCAGTAATGATGGAAATTTAGTTGAATAATGACTACTTGATAATGACCAAAGGTCCTACATTGGGAAATAAAAACATATTGTCCTATATTGGGAAAGTCATTATGTTTTAGTCCTATATAAGTAAATTTCTCTTTTATAAATCGACTGTTTTTTTCTTCTTCTACGGAGTATTTCCCATTAAATTCTCATTTCGCCCTGATTCTTAATCATCCTCTTTCATTACACTCTCTCTAAGTTTATTTGACGTTAAAATGGTGATTAAAATGATACGAATCGTTAATTTTATGAGCGAGTATCGTAAGGTTCTGAGATCATTACATGATATTGCCGGAACTGGCCCTTTTTATAATGGTGTTGGCCCTTACCTCTTCAAAGACAATCGGATAAAATTTCAAAATTTACATTTTTCTTTGAATAAAGTTATTTGTACCACAAGAATTTGTACCTCATTTTATATACAGCAGTGATGCACTAACATTTTGTGTTGTTGTAATGCTAATTTTTGTTAATACACCAACACTTTATGTCCATGCGAATTTTTGTTAACGCACCAATGATTTGTGTCAATGTGAACTATCAAAATGTTGGTACATATTTTTGGTATACGAATATGATGCAAATTTTGAAGTACATCTGTACATGTAACATACTCTTCTTTTTTGGGCTTTAGGTGAAATTTTAGCCCAACATTTATTAATTGGACTACTCCGTAATACATCAAGAAAAATAGAATGATTTTTTTAAAGAAATCGCCTAGAATACGAGATAGGACTATACGAGTGAAATGTAGGCAATAGACCTAGCTACAAAATTGACCAAAACTGTTTTTTATGACAAAAATATTGAATTTTGAAAAAATGTTTTATTGAACAAATCTAAAATGACTCGTTAAAAATGCGTCAAACTCGGCCGAACTCAAACCCACTAACATAAGAATTTTTAAAAATCATGTACTTTAATATGAAAATTAATGTATTAAAAATAAAGGTTGTGTATTATTTTTTTTCTTATTACTTATTTTTAGTATATGAACGTATATTGTTAAACAAATTTTAATAATATCAAAAAGTTATCTTAATTTTTCAAAAGTGGTGTATATTTATTTTTTATATTATTCTTAATAATTTAAAAAAAACACCCAAAATAGAAGTAGATTATTACAAAAATACTAAAATACAACAACAACAACAACAACCCAGTTAAATCCCACTACAGTAGGGTCTGGGAAGGGTGTGTGTACGCAGACCTTGCCCCTACTCAGAAGTAGGGAGGCTGTTTCCAAGAAAAAAAGTACACAAAATAAGAATTTGCACTGTATACTAGCATTTCATAATATTTTTTGATATTATATGTTGACATCATGGTTATTGTAACTCTTATTTTAGAAATAAAAAATAAAACTCTTTGGTAGTTTCTCTATATTTTACTCCGAGTGTAGTCTTTTTCCTTTTAAATATATCAAAGAAGTAATTAAAAACTCAAAATAATTTATTCTAAGCTGTTTAATATATTTATATTGATATTTTATAAAAAAAATTTAGTACAAAATTCAAGTGCTAGTATGAATTTTAATATTCTAAAACTAAATTTCATAACACATTGAGTTAATCCAAACCTGATGACAATGGTCATACACATGCAGTTTTCAACCCAAATCAAAATTTTTCGCAACCTAATGTAATCTGAACCCGAAGCAATCTCAAACCCGACTGGATCGATCGATTTGTCAACTTTAGTTGTGAGTGTGATAGAAAAGTGATTATTGTGTAATACAACACTCTGATGAATGATCAATCAACCTTTAGTGGACCACCGGTCAACATCAGCGACGGCAATCTGGTGATTGGCGACAAAAAAAACAGTGTGACAATTGCAGTGTGACAATGTGATAAGTGTGGTAGTATTAATAATGACAATATGAATTCTTATTTTGGTTTTATAAGACTCAGATTCCTATTTTGATATTTTTGTATTTTTGTGTGGCATTCAATCTGCGCTGCCTTCATCCTAATCCAAATCTGAATAAGAACAATATGAACATAGAAACAAACTAGACAAAACAGCAGAATGAGTTCCTCTGAACATGATGGATCTCTTCCTAGGGTTAGGGTTTGCCTTTAGATGTGCGCTACAATAACAATTCATTAGATCAAAAAAAAAACAAACAAGAAACAATATAAACACTTTATTAATCATAAACACAACATACATTATCAATATACACATTGTCAGTGTAAGTGTATAATTTCACCCTTGTTCTGCTAATTATCTGTTTTTTAACTTATGTTTGCTAATTTTCCTTCAGAATATATGTTTTAAAATACACAATATTTTTCGTTGATCATCTAATTCAAAGACACCCCGATAATCAAATAACTTTCAGGTTATATGATTTCGGGTAGACTATCTTTGCTATTGATCATCTGTTTCAATATCACCCTGATAATATCTGTTTTTCATTCGAATTTGAAAATTTGGTAATGGTTATGCCATGTTTTTTAGATGATAACCTTTCAATGTTGTAATATGGAATCATTACTTTCTAAATGCTGAATGATCAAAGAATTGGTACCTGAGATTGTTGCATTTTGCCTACACAGTCTGAACTTGTTAGACATTGCATCAAGGTCCTTTATGTGGCTGATTTAGAAACAGTGGGTTCTCTAAACAAGTTCATAATATAAGCTCTGCTGTTGAGATGAAATACATAAAATCAAGATGGGACTTGAGCTACTTCCCCCCAAAACTTTCTTGGTTCAGTTCTTTCATATGAGAGTCACTAAACATCTAAGCACTTGAAATGTGGATCATTTTCGAGGATCTCTAACAAACATATCAAAGCTTACTAGGACTACAAAAGTCTAAATTGGCCCTCAGTGTCAGTGTGTCACACAAACTCTTATTCCATCCGTCTGCGTTTCTTCGCAAGATTCTCAAAGATTTGGTGGACATCGGCAGAAGTAACCACCTTGGATGGATCCAGGGACCCCAGGAAAGACTGGAGCTCATTCTTGAAGTCAGCAATGCCAGTCAAGATCTCCATTTTCTCAATGTGGCCAAGTTTGTAAAGGAACTCAGAGCTCTGCTTCTCCAAAAACATCTCCCTTTTTTGCTTTGCCATTGCCTCGTACTCGGCAATTGTGTCCTCTTTGTCAAGCAAGAAGGCAACTCCTTTCTGGTTGTACAAGTCCACACAGCTCGTGGCCCCATAAACCCTTATACTCCTTAATTGTTACATTGAAAATATGAAATAAAACAAATACTCCGTATATGTGAAAATATAACTCTATATAAAAACAGACATCTTCTTTCTATATTTATAGGCAAAATCATCACTTGAACTATTACTTTCTATTTTTTATATTAAATTTCATAACATCAAACCAAGTTAATTCCATAAATTGTATCTAAAATAAAAAGCTGACTCATGTATCTAAAATAAATTTCATAAAATTAAATTTCTAGATATTTCTTGCAGCAATTTAACTAAACACTTAACTGAAATTCAGAAGATTTCACAAAATTGATTCATGAAGTATAGCTTCCGCAATCACTTATACAATTCAAAATCCAAACATCATCATACTCGAGAATCTAGCTAACGAAATTGGGGAAATAGGGAATTAGGGTTCATCAACCCATTTGAAGTAGAAGAATTAACGGGAAACAAAACCTGAAACCGCAACGATCCTCGCCTGAGACGCTCCACCTCCCAGCAGCGATCTCTTCGTCTCTCTCCGCCTTTAGGTTGCGACTTGCAAGAGCAGGGTCTCACGGCGGCGGGCAAGTGATGCTGGGCTACTAAAACAAAAAAAAAAAAAAATAGGGGCCTTCTATTTTCATTGGGCCATAGGCTGTTTTGATCATGGTGCAAGCCCATGGCACGGCCCTGTTTATTATACTCTGTACATAAATTATACCCTGTTCTCAAAAATTTATTTTTTAATAACAAAGGGGAAAAAAAGGCCAAATAGTTCCGGTGCCCCCTTTGGTTTGGAAAATTGGCACTAATATCCCCTCTATTTTAAAAACTTACTTCTAAAGTCTTCGTGGTTTCAAAAAATTGCACCCACACCCCCTCAAATCATTTTCCAACCATTTTCTGGCGAAGAGGAGACATTTGCACATTATTTTTAAACCATAGGGGGCATTCGTGCTCATTTTTATTTTTCGTTTATTATTTGTGTTTTCCTTGTTTTAAATATTTTCTATCTCTTTTTCCTTTTCCTAGATTGTTTTCTAATTTATTTTCAGTTTTTTTATAATGTTTTAAAATTTTTAAACTCTTTTGTGTTTGAAATAAAAATAAAATAAAAAATTAACATACATTGCATCTATTTGAAATTAAACATTTTCACTTTTTGTTACGTACTTATTTGGAAAGTTCAAAAAGAAAAACCTAGAATAAAAAAATAAAAATATGGAAAAATAAAATGAAAAATAAAAATACACAAAAAAAGTGATATAAAAAAATGGACAAGCCTAAAAAAGTTCTTAGAATTGAGATGTTCGAAGAATGGACAAGCCTAAAGCAATATTTTGAAACTACAAGGACTTTAGAAATAAGTTTTGGAAACAAAGGGGGTTTGTGTGCTTACTTTGCAAACCACGGGGGTACTGGCGCAATCAGAATTAAATATAAACTAATAGGACACATGCTCAAACATAACCAAAATTTGAATAAAAGATGACTCAAACTTTTGGACAAAAACTAGCTCAAAATCCAAAAACAAGGAAAAAAAGACTAATAAGGAGTAATAACTCAAAGAAACATATAAACCGAAGGAGTAACCTAAACTTTGAAACAAACTCAGAGACAAAAAATATGATTTACCAAGCTAAAACAATAGGAAATCACAAAAACACTCACATGGGCTCTAAATGTAGATGTGTAGAAGAAAAACAAATACACCCAGACATTCAGTTGTTATATATTTTAGTGTAATCATCCCAGACAACGGTATCCTAATAATCAGAGTACAAAATAGAGTACAAATAGCTTTATCCCGCCTCATTTCACCTATTCATGGCCTTAACCCTTGCGGGGTCCAAGGGGCAGAGCCCCTGGCTGGGGTCGAGATGCCAGGTCAGCTCGAAATTTTTTTATTTTGGGCTCGGTGCTATGTTAAAAAATTCAATTGGAATTTTATTTTTCGAAACTTTTTTAAGAGAAAACTTCCGATTGGATAGCACCGAATTTGAAGAACTTCCGCGCGAAGGATCGCGTAACTTGGGAAAGAGATGCGATAGGCATCTACATTGAGACGTGGAGAACACTAAACCTCCATCGAAATAACATCTGGATCTTAATTTTGTTTTCATTTTCCGCCACCGACTTGTGACCACACCTTCGTTAAAATTGAAGACGGCAGGGACGGGGACGGGAAAAGAGGCAGAGACGACAAAGGCATTGCGGACTTGATGTGGTGGTGGCGACGAAGAAGAAGAATGGGATGTTGACAGCAGAGGCCATGAAGAATGCACACCAACTTGGCGAGATAGTGGCGCTGATGGCGACGAGATCTATAGATGAGAGATGAAGGAGGAGGGTGGGTGAGGAGGTTAGGCATGTGAGAGTTGGGAGAGAGGATGAGTTTATACGTGGGGTACAAAGTGGCTATAAATATTTGCTTTATACATGCCCGCAGTAATATATAAGTAGATATATTACAATAAATGGAGTAAATAACAGAGTAAGTTCTGACTTTGTACCTCATTTGTACACCAACAGTATGCATCAATATTTTGATTGTTCACAGTGACACAAAGTATTTGTGCGTAAACAAAAATTTACACTGACATAAAGTAAGTGTTGTTGTGTCAACAAAAATTAGCATTACACAGACACAGAATATTGGTGCATCCCTGCAGTGTACAAAATAGAGTACAAATAGCTTTATCCCGCCCCATTTCACCTATTCATGGCCTTAACCAGGGGTCCAAGGGGCAGAGCCCTTGGCTAGGGTCGAGATGCCAGGTCAGCTCAAAAATTTTTTATTTTGGCCTCGGTGCTATGCTAAAAAATTCTATTGGAATTTTACTTTTCGAAACTTCTTTAAGAGAAAACTTCCGATTGGATAGCACCAAATTTGAAGAACTTCCGCGCAAATGATCGCGTAACTTGGGAAAGAGACGCGATAGGCATCTTCTCCCTCTGCCGCAAATTTATAAATTCCCGCAGGCCATGGTCGAATTTCTGTTCGGATTTTTCATAGAAATTCTCATATTTCGTTCTTGATACTTTCGAGTTTTATCCGATTGAACTTTGGGGTGAACAACCAAAATATTCAATCTGAAAGTGTTTTACACAACTCTCGATTCATCCAAGTTATCGTTAATTTCGCCAACATCAGTGTAATTGAGAAACATGTCCAACAGAAATTAAATGGCGAAAAATAAATTTCCTCAAATATAGACATTTTAATTCTGAAAGGCTGTATATTTTCACACACAAAAATCCTAGAAAAAATTATTGTTCAAATTTAGAAGTAAATAACCTACATTGAGACGTGGAGAACACTAAACCTCCATCAAAATAACATCAGGATCTTAATTTTGTTTTCATTTTCCGCCACCGACTTGTGACCACACCTCCATTGAAATTGAAGATGGCAAGGACGGGGACGGGAAAAGAGGCAGGGATGACAAAGGCATTTCGGACTTGATGTGGTGGTGGCGACGAAGAAGAAGAATGGGATGGTGATAGCAGAGGCCAGCAAGAATGCACACCAACTTGGCGAGATAGTGGCGCTGATGGCGACGAGATCTATAGATGAGAGATGGAGGAGGAGGGTGGGAGAGGAGGTTAGGCGTGTGAGAGTTGGGAGAGAGGATGGGTTTATACATGGGGTACAAAGTGGCTATAAATATTTGCTTTATACATGCCCGCAGTAATATATAACAGAGTAAATAAATGGAGTAAATAACAGAGTAAGTTCTGACTTTGTACCTTATTTGTACACCAACAGTATGTATCAATATTTTCATTGTTCACAGTGACACTAAGTATTTGTGCGTTAACAAAAATTTACATTGTCATAAAGTGTTGCTGCGTCAACAAAAATTAGTATTACACAGACACAGAATATTGGTGCATCCGTGCAGTGTACAAAATAGAGTACAAATAGCTTTATCCCGCCCCCTTTCACCTATTCATGGCCTTAACCCCCGTAGGGTCCAAGGGGCAGAGCCCCTGGCTGGGATTGAGATGCCAGGTCAGCTCGAAAATTTTTTATTTTGGGCTCGGTGCTATGTTAAAAAATTCAATTGGAATTTTATTTTTCGAAACTTCTTTAAGAGAAAACTACCAATTGGATAGCACCAAATTTGAAGAACTTCTGGGCGAAGGATCGCGTAACTTGGGAAAGAGACGCGATAGACATATTCTCCCTCTGCCGCAAATTTATAAATTCCCGCAGGCCATGGTCGAATTTCAGTTCGGATTTTTCATAGCAATTCTCATATTTCGTTCTTGATACTTTCGAGTTTTATCCAATTGAATTTTGGGGTGAACAACCAAAATATTCAATCTGAAAGTGTTTTACACAACTCTCTATTCATCCAAGTTATCGTTAATTTCTCCAACATCAGTGTCATTGAGAAACATGTCCAACAGAAATTAAATGGCGAAAAATAAATTTCCTCAAATATAGACATTTTAATTTTGAAAGCCTGTATATTTACACACACAGAACTCCTAGAAAAATTATTGCTCAAATTTAGAAATAAATAACCTGCATTAAGACGTGGAGAACACTAAACCTCCATCGAAATAACATCTGGATTTTAATTTTGTTTTTATTTTCCGCCACCGACTTGTGACCACACCTCCATCGAAATTGAAGACGGCAAGGACGGGGACGGGAAAAGAGGCAAGGACGACAAAGGCATTGCGGACTTGATGTGGTGGTGGCGACGAAGAAGAAGACTGGGATGGTGACATCAGAGGCCAGAAAGAATGCACACCAACTTGGTGAGATAGTGGCACCGATGGTGACGAGATCTATAGATGAGAGAGGGAGGAGGAAAGTGGGAGAGGAGGTTAGGCGTGTGAGAGTTGGGAGAGTGGATGGATTTATACGTGGGGTACAAAGTGGCTATAAATATTTGCTTTATACATGCCCGCAGTAATATATAGGTAGATATCTTACAATAAATGGAGTAAATAACAAAGTAAGTTCTGACTTTGTACCTCATTTGTACACCAACAGTATGCATCAATATTTTGATTGTTCATAGTGACACAAAGTATTTGTGCGTTAACAAAAATTTACACTGACATAAAGTGTTGTTGCGTCAACAAAAATTAGCATTACACAGACGCATAATATTGGTGCATCCGTGCAGTGTACAAAATAGAGTACAAATAGCTTTATCCCGCCCCATTTCACCTATTCATGGCCTTAACCCCTGCGGGGTCCAAGGGGCAGAGCCCCTGGCTATGGTCGAGATGCCAGGTCAGCTCGAAAATTTTTTATTTTGGGCTCGGTGCTATATTAAAAAATTCAATTGGAATTTTATTTTTCGAAACTTCTTTAAGAGAAAACTTCCGATTGGATAGCACCGAATTTGAAGAACTTTCGCGCGAAGGATCGTGTAACTTGGGAAAGAGACGCGATAGGCATCCTCTCCCTCTGCCGCAAATTTATAAATTCCCGCAGGCCATGGTCGAATTTCAGTTCGGATTTTTCATAGCAATTCTCATATTTCGTTCTTGATACTTTT